GGGGTTATTGACACGAACCGTAAGGTTTATGAATTTTAATTTTGAACAAACTACATAGGAAGCACAACATCGGCCACCTAGAAGAGAGACAACGGGTTATTGACACGAACCGTAAGGTTTATGAATTTTAATTTTGAACAAAGTTTTTAAAACTTTAAAACAACTTTAAATATTTCTACAACCAGAAAGGCTGCTGTGACTGATAGATGGAACATTGTGTACTTGGCAATACATGTGTAATTGATATGACAACTGTTGTGATAGTGGTTTCTAAAAAGTGTTTAGTGCCTCTGAAGATGATCCAAATGGATAAAAACATGTAAGGCTAATGAATCATAAAGTGAGAAAACTGAAATAGTCACACTGGACGGACTTGTCTTTTATAATTGTAATTTCCTTTTCCTTCGTTTTCTAATTCAAGCGGAATGAAGAAGAGAAAAACCATGACAAATCAACATATGATGATCTCGACAAAGCAATGCTGATCTGGTTTAATCAACTAAGGGCACAGGGAACAACAATAACAGGAGCAGTTTGTGCGAAACAAGCGAAATTTTTTCTGAAGCACTTGAACTTCAAGGAAGTTTTAACGCTTCTTCCGGTTGGCTAACACGTTTCAAGCAGCGTCATGGAATACGAGAACTTAATATTCAAGGTGAGAAATTGTCAGGGGACATGTCATCATCAGTTCAATTTTGCACCAGTTTTGATAGTTTTGTGAAAAGTGAAAATCTGCTGCCAGAACAAATCTATAATGCCAATGAAACGGCTCTTTATTGGAAATGCTTGCCAACCAGAACTTTGGCATTTCAAAATGAAAGACAGGCTCCAGGTCACAAATCCAGTAAGGAGAGATTGACAGTCTTGTGCTTTCTAATGCATCAGGAACACACAAACTAACACCAGTAGTTATCGGCAAAGCAAAAAGACCACGCTCTTTTAAAGGAACAGTAGCTTCAAGTCTGCCTATCCATTATTTTAATCAGAAAGAAGCTTGGATGAATAGAGCGATATTTAAAGACTGGTTTGAATTTAAATTTGTGCCTCAAGTTCGTGACCATCTTAAATCCCAAGGCCTACCTGAGAAAGCTGTGCTCCTCATTGACAATGTGCCCTCACATCCTAACGAAAGTCTCCTGAGGTCAGATGATGGAAATATTTTTGTGAAATATTTTCCTCATAATGTTACCACACTTATCCAACCAATGGATCAAGGAGTTATCTCAAGTATGAAGAACAGATCAAATTTGCTACAAAAGTACATCGATGAAGGCAATGATTTGACGTGTTTCTGGAAGTCTTTTCCCATGTTAGATACCATATACGAGAGTTCAGCAGCGTGGGATACAGTAAAGTCGTCTGTATTTAAAAATTCATGGAAGAAACTGATGCCTTTCATCACTAATGAAGATCATGAAATCCATGGATTCACTGGATTCAGTGAAAATGAGATAGCCATAGAATTGACAAAATTAGCTAACTAAGTTCATGGTGGTGAAGAAGTCAACTTATCCAACCAATGGATCAAAGAGTTATCTCAAGTATGAAGAGAATCTACAGATCAAATTTGCTACAAAAGTTCATCGATGAAGGCAATGATTTGACATGTATCTGGAAGTCTTTTCCCATGTTAGATACCATATACGAGATTTCAGTAGCGTGGGATACAGTGAAGTCATCTGTATTGAAAAATTCATGGAAGAAGCTGATGCCTTTCATCACTAATGAAGATGACGAAATCTATGGATTCACTGGATTCAGTGAAAATGAGATAGCCATAGAATTGACAAATTGGCTAACCTAGTTCATGGTGGTGAAGAAGTCTACGAGGAAAATATAAGAGAGTGGTTTGACTGTTACTCGTGTGAGCCAGGCTTTGAAATGTTAAGCAGTGACAAAATCATAAGTTCAGTGGGGGTGCAGCCAGAGGAGTGGGAAGAAAGTGAGAATGAGGAAGAGGTGGACAGTGCTGCTAGTAAGAAAATATCACATGGTGCTGCTCTTAATCATTTAGAATCCTTACTAGACTATCTTGAGAGTGAAGAGAAAGTGTTAAGTGTGAATATTCATAAAAAGTGTTGGATGTTTTTGAACACTATGATTGAAATCACTAATTCATACTTCAGTGTAATGTAAAAAAGTATTACATAGGCCATGAGATGACATAAAAGTGAGGTTGAATAAATTTAAATACAGGTAGGCCTATAGTATTAGGAAGGTACAATATTACAGTACTACTTTTAATAAAATTTGTCTTAACCGGGTTTTTGATTAATCGTGATTTCCATCCCCACCATTATCCCGGATAATCGAGAGTGTACAGAGAGAGGTTCTTGATTAGGATTACTTTTATGACTTTTCGCATTCATGAACAAGTGAGAATTACTGTTTAAAAATTAAGGTTATATGTATATAACTGACCCTTCACCAGCAGTATATAAGTTCCTTGGGCTACTGGGCACCTAATAATTAGTCAGTTCATTTATATTTTGTTCCAAAACTCTTGGTCATCTCTTACTGCTATCATGCTGGCAGTTCTTATTTCAGTAATGAGAAAGTATAGTGTGCATGAAAATTTGAACTCCTGACAATTTTCGTCTTTCAGTAATGTAATTCAAGTGCAAATTGGTCAATGACTCCCTGCCACTCATTTCTGAGAATGCCAGCAAAGAATATGAAGAGCTGATATTCTCATTTCACTGATCTTTATCTGATATGAAGGAAAAACTTCTGAAATGGCCATCATATTGTTTGGTGATTTAATGGTTGAATCACTCCCACCCCACCTTCACAACCCTCATTTCAATTAGTGTAAATTTCAAAACACCTGAAAGATATGTTCTTTGGCTCAGACCACTGCATTCATAATTTCAGCTATGTAGAAGAAAGATCCAGTCATTTTATAACCTTAAAATATATGGTTTTATATGCTTCCTTTTATATGAATCCTTTTGCCTGTGTCCGCAGGAAGAAATAGCACAACTACGTCGCAAGGCAGAGCGCATGAAGAAATTAGAAATGGCAGAAACTTTGGATGAAGTGATGTTGGAAGAGATCCGTGAATACAAAGAAACTTTGACATGCCCTTCTTGTAAAGTTAAACGTAAAGATGCTGTTCTGAGTAAATGTTTTCATGTATTTTGTTGGGATTGTCTGCGTACTCGGTATGAAACCAGACAAAGGAAGTGTCCAAAGTGCAATGCCGCCTTTGGTGCCAATGATTACCATCGTCTGTATCTTTCAACATAAAATGTGTTACATATGAGATTAAAATTTAAATTGTTATACCTGTTTTGCAACTAAGTTGTCCTGTACAATTTTAGAATCTCTGTTTCACATGTAACCTTCCTTCATGAATGTATAAAAACCAGTAGAACTGGTTGTATTCACTAAACCACACAAGCCAGTAAATTAATTAATTCAGCTTCATTGTTTTTGAATGATTTACTATTTCATAAGTCTCTGTATAATCATATTTGCAAGAGTACTCCCCTGCAGCTCCATTTTAGGAGATTAAATAATAAATATTAATAACTACAAAACTGGTGTTAAAATAACATTAACCAGGTTTGAAATACAGCATACTGCCTGTGATTGTCATTATTTGTAATATCTTGCAGACATGACAGAATGTGTGTGTGTGTGTGTACCCATCCTTTCTTTTTCATATCATAACTGTTTAGAATGGGGGCCACATGGTAGTGTAGTTGGTTGAGGCACTGTGCTACAAGCCGGAAGGTCATGGGTTCAAGTCCCAATGAGGTCATTGGATTTTTTCAGTTGACCAAATCCTTCCAGCTGCATTATGGCCATGGGGTGTGTTATGAAAAGTCTACCAAGGTGGGGTCAAAAGTCCTACAGTAGGATGCTAATGGGCTGGGTAGTTCATTAATGCCCGTTTCATTTAACACAGAATACAGTAGTATTTAATTCTGATATAAAAAATTAAGAAAATACAATGGACCTAGTAGATGGTCCTCAATACACCAATACACAATGGTGAGGACCCAACTCTTTCGTTGTGCCGTATCCTAGGTAGCCCATCCTTTTGTTAATTTTGTAGAACTTAATTTAGTCAGCTGTGGGGCCTCCCCAACCTGATTGGGGTCAAATAGCTTGGTAAGCCCAAATTTATTTACTTACAGTCCGTTGGAGCAAGTTCGAAACCCCCTAACTTCGAGATAGGGGTCACTAGGTTGCCCTCAGTTCCCTGCCGGCTGCTCCTGCTGTTTCTTCTTCCACGGTGTTATCGCTGCCAGAGGAGCCTACGCTACCTCTATTTCGAGCGTCTCGTTATCCACTACCTCGTGTTGCTCTCACTGCCTCATACACGGCTGCCCCCCCCTCCACCGCGTATACAGGACTGCCAAGTGTCTTCCGCGGGCAATGTTGCTGCATCACCGATGCTTTTCAAAAGTAGCTTCGACAGGAGCATCGCACTCGTAACAGGTGTTAAATAGCTTTATGCCTGGATAATACACCCCTCTCTGATAGGATGATAAATGTGTTGAAGGTATATGAAGGTGGTCATTCCTTCTGGTTCCAATGACATATACAGAGTTATTGGTTTGAAACTTATCCAGATTATTAACAACAAATGTCATCAAGGAAAGCAAATATACCCATGGGATTGGTAGTCTGTTAGATGTACATGTATGAGTTGGGCCCACTCCCATCATTATTCTTATTATTTGCTTTTGTATGACAAAGACTTTATGACTGTCTGATGTATTTCCCCAGTATATTATTCCATATTTCACCCATGAATGATAATATGCATAATATACAGCTTTAAGACTATTCATATTTAATATATAGGATAATTTTTGCATTATAAAACAAACTGTGCTCAACTTGTGAAGCAAAAAATCGATATGTTCCTTACAAGTTAGATGACTGTCCAGCTGCAAACCGAGAAATGTTATCATTTCTACTTCTTTCAGCTTTTTGTTAAAAAACAATGGATATATAGGGTAGCTTGTAGCGNGTTGCTGCATCACCGATGCTTTTCAAAAGTAGCTTCGACAGGAGCATCGCACTCGTAACAGGTGTTAAATAGCTTTATGCCTGGATAATACACCCCTCTCTGATAGGATGATAAATGTGTTGAAGGTATATGAAGGTGGTCATTCCTTCTGGTTCCAATGACATATACAGAGTTATTGGTTTGAAACTTATCCAGATTATTAACAACAAATGTCATCAAGGAAAGCAAATATACCCATGGGATTGGTAGTCTGTTAGATGTACATGTATGAGTTGGGCCCACTCCCATCATTATTCTTATTATTTGCTTTTGTATGACAAAGACTTTATGACTGTCTGATGTATTTCCCCAGTATATTATTCCATATTTCACCCATGAATGATAATATGCATAATATACAGCTTTAAGACTATTCATATTTAATATATAGGATAATTTTTGCATTATAAAACAAACTGTGCTCAACTTGTGAAGCAAAAAATCGATATGTTCCTTACAAGTTAGATGACTGTCCAGCTGCAAACCGAGAAATGTTATCATTTCTACTTCTTTCAGCTTTTTGTTAAAAAACAATGGATATATAGGGTAGCTTGTAGCGGCTGTTGGGGTGAATTTTATCATTTTTGTTTTATCCAAATTTAACACTAATTGGTTATTTCGAAACCACATAAACATGTGATTAAAAACAACATCCAATTTTATTTTTAAATTATAGTAGTCTTTAGCTGTGCAAAGAATACTGGTGTCATCTGCAAACATAATAACTTCAGAAATTTTACTTATTTCAAGGGGGAAACCGTTTATGTACATATTAAAGAATAAGGGTCCCAACATCGATCCCTGAGGCACACCACATCCAACAATTTCCCAGTTGGAATAATATTTATTATTTATATTATTTAATTCCACTCTTTGCCTCCTATATTGGAGGTAAGATTAAACCATTGCAATAATACACCCTGCACTCCATAGTACTGCAGTTTCATTAATAGAAGATCATGATTAACGCAGTCAAAGGCCTTGGCTATGTCACAAAATATTCCAGTTACATACTCTTGTCTATTCCAAGCTGTAAGTATTACATTGCTTAATTTAAACATTGCATCGTCGGTTGCATCCCTTTTGGAATCCATACTGCTCTGAAAGTAATATTTTATGTTTTACGATATGATCATTGAGTCTCCTAAAAATTGCTGTTTCAAAAACTTTTACTATAGATATTGGCCTGTAGTTACATATAACAGCCTTTTCCCCTTTTTTATATACTGGCTTAATAATTGCATATTTTAATCTTTCTGGATACAGACCCATGGTTAATGACTTATTAATTTCATAAGTTAGAGGTTTACTAATTTGTTGTCTGCACAGTTTTATAACTTTATTTGTTACACCATCATACCCTGAAGAATTTTTTGCTAATTTGCTAATTATACTAATTATTTCCTCTTCTGCAACTAAATTGGTACACGTTCTTTGTTGTGATTGTTAATCCTACCTGTGTCAGTGTTGATAATATTCCAGGTAGTTTTTATTTTGTTTTTGGCTGATGTAATTAACTGATTATAATATTTTCTTTTAGCTTCTCTTATTACTCTTCTTAATATCATGCAGTAGGATTTATAGTATGATTTAACCTTTAAGTGACGGCCCTTTAAATTCCGGTAATGGCAGCGGGACGGATTTGATTTAAATACCCGCAATTTTAAAGCAATAAAAACTGTAATCATTTCCTAAAATTGCTGTGATTTCTACAATTTTTGTGATAAACGAACCAAATAAATGCTGTTTTTTTCTAGAAAGAATATAGAATCAGATATTGTAATTTACAGACTTTATAAAATGTGTAAAAATTTTTAGACTGATTCCAAGTAAAAAATTCCCAAATTTGTCGTCTGTCTACAAGAATTCAGAGTTCTTGGAACTAAGAATGCTGTATGTAGATGTTGCAACACAGCGGATGGTTTATGTAGTCATGTTTAGTCTTCCATGTCTCGAAAGATTATACACGTACGTGTTCTTTCGGTATGCAGAGATGTGGGGTGAGTATTCGTATACAAGAACCCTGATTGTTTATTATCGCTTGTCGCAACACAACAAGCTCTCTGTTCTCACTCTGCTGGAAGTAGATTATAAGTACTTTCGTGGTTAGCATCCTAATACCACAGCCAAGCAGTGTCAAAAGCGTGTACCAACCATTGCGCTGTCTCGTTTGGAAGACGCTGACATATTTCAACTCATAAATGACTCTGAATCAGATTGTTGTACCGACAGTTCTGAGAGTGGCGTTGAGGAAAGTGAATCAGAAATTGATTTCAACGAAGAACCGTCATCTTGGTCGGCAACCTGGGGACCACCACACCAGCATGGCAAGAGGAGTGTGAATAATTATTCAGGTGGAGCTGTGGGCAAACTGTGGCAAACAGTTATAACATCTGTCGTTGAACCTGGAAATGGACAAATAAACTATTTTTCCATCTCCTGGATCTGAACAGTTACATCCTGTTGTCACAAAGAGAATTTCGTCTCGCTCTTGTGCGGAACATGCTGGAAGGGGTCCACCTCGCCATCAACGGCCCAGGGGTCGAACCCCTGCCGTTTTATCGGAGATATCTCGATTATAGGAGGCCAAACCACATCACTGGTCGACTTCCTCTACTTCGCAATTGATGTGTCATGTGTGCTTTTCGCGTGGGAAACGAAGAACCCTCCAGACAAAGTGCGTGAAGTGCGACATCAGACTCTGCATTTCCGGATGTTTCCAAGATATCCACATGAAGCCAACATTCCGTTAGATGACGCAGGTGGGAAGAGAGACAACTTATAAAGCTGGTGACCAAAAATCATGTAAGTAGAAAAACAATTTATAACTTAAAATTAGATTTTAAAAAGCCGGCCGCACGCGTGGACTGCGCGACGACATATGGCGCCATTCGTCCCCTTGACTTTATTTTAATGACGCCATATGGCGTCGCTCGGCTCTTAAAGGTTAAACAAATAGCTGTAATTGTTTCTACAGAGAATGAACAAAGATTCCTTCTGTCTACAGGAGGTACGTATACCAGCTGCTATCCAGCCATTATCCTTGAGTTTATTTGTTACATTTTGCTTTGGAAAGCATGACTCATAGACAAATACTTATTTAAAAATGAGCTGAATATTTCGTTTACATCATTAAGTTTATATATATTTTCCCATTTTTCATTAGATAGTTTATTAAGAAATTGAGCAATTGAGTCTTCATTTACTAATCTTTTTGTAATACCCTGTCCTTTTTTCTTCTCCAGGAAATTGATATTATTTAGTACGAGACACTGAGCATCGTGATCTGATAGTCCATTACTAATAAAGATTACTTCATATGAATTTATCATTGCCTTATCTATAAAAATATTATCAATTGCAGAGCTTTTGGTCTCAGTTATTCTAGTTGGGAACTGTACTG